CCACTTTTTAGGGATTTGCCGGTGAGTTTTCTTGACTCGTAAGCTTGAATTTTGTTGTGACGATGTTATCCCGCTCTGATGATGTTCGTCAAAATGACGGACGAAAGCTCAGCACGTGTTCACTGGAATCGAAGGAGATTGCCTCGGAAACAGCGTCAGCATGAATCTTCCAGTAAAGCCAATCGACAGCTGGTCAAGAGGAATCCGCCGTCTTCTAAACAGCGTCAGCATGAATCTTCCAGTAAAGCCAACCGACAGCTGGTCAAGAGGAATTCGCCGTCGTCTTGCTGGTGGAACCGACCTTCGAATCTCTTCACCCAACACTTCTACTCGAAATGGAAGTAAGCCCAACAATTATGAAACAAGTGATTTCTCGAAACCCAACTTTTCTTCGTATATTATAAAATATAGTCATGCTTATCTCTTTCGTTTTGATGAAGAAAGAGTATTGCAAAGGGGTTCAACTAACTATTCGCCCAAAGAACCTGCTTGCCTCTTCACAGAGAGCCAATGAAGCGTTGACTCGGTAGGGCTTTAAGGCCTGAAATTTCATTGTTTTCGAAAGTGATCGAAATTTGGTGTTGGAAGTTTATACAGATCGAAGAGTTATTCGTAAAATTGTGGGATTCACAAGACCTTCGGGTACTGGTTACTTCTCCATAATTACCCTTAGCGCCGCTTCTCTTTTTTCCTCCACCTCTGCCTCAGCTCGATTTTATCCTTCTTTTGGCAAATTTCTCAGGAGCTAACTCCCCAGCAACCGCATGTCTGTCTTAAACTCTGCTCCCATCAATGCTCTTCTGTCACCTCGTCTATGTTCCGCTCCTCTTACTCCATTCCTTTTGTCTCGGAAGAGATCTACATTCATGTCATCTATAAATTGACCATAGTACATTCGCATCGAATGGCACTTGAGGGCAAAGTGATTCATTGTCTACTGGCGCGACTACATAATGATGCCAAGAAGATTAAAGGCGAGGAAGCAGTAAATGTCACTATGCCGATTTCGATTGAGGATAAGTACATTTTGCACAAGAATCCGAGGTGCCTCAGAACTGCTAAGATAATGGAAGCATTGAAAGCTGAATTTTTTGCAATGAACTGATAGGCGGGTCACATGATGCTTTTGTATCTACCTTACTCTTGTATTTTAAAAGATAGTCTTCATTGGCCAGACGGCTCGAAGGTACTGGGACCGAGGGGAAGATGCTCAGAGAGATAAACTTGTATTTGTCATCTTAATCGCCAATATTATTCTCTACCAACTCACTAGTTCTCAACTATAAGTTTGTCTTAAATAAGAAATCGAGATCCCTTGAGTCTTTTGAGGTGATCGAATCACTTAGTTTTCCACAGTACCATTGCATTGGTCCTGGCCTTTTAGTGGGAAACTCAATTCCCAGTTCTTT